ACTTTAATCTCAATAAAATTTATGACTATGCCCACTCTTACCTATCATGTCCCGCACTTTATGTCAGTTTTAAATGTTAGTCTTGTATATTTCTTGTATATTTGTATATTGCAGAGAGTAAACGTAATTTCATTTCCCTTGTATGTCTTGTACATATGTAGAAAATGACAATAAAAGCTGACTTGACTTGACTTGACTAGATGGCCTGCCGGTGACGGGGCTGTCACTTCTGCTCTCCCCAAAGAAGGTTGGAAGGAGGGGCCTGAAGTGCCTGGTTTAAGTAATTTTTTGGGGGGTGGGGGGGTGGATGGTCTGGTTGGGTGGCCTGCATGGGATGGGTTGGCCCCTGTCCCGGGGGGAGCTCTTGCTGGAGGTGGTCCGGTCCGTGTGCGGGGTGGGGGGCCGGGCTCGAAGGAGGAATGAGAGTGGTTGGTGTGGCGGTGTCGTCGCTCCCCTCCCCCCCATCCTGATTTTAGGTTCACTTATTGGGTCATCCGATAATCCAGGGACCAACCACCGGTGCCGCCTGGTCTTTGGTCCTGGTATAATTGGATGTGAGTGTTATGTGTGAAGGTGTGTCCGCGTTTTTTTTTTGTGTGTGTGGTGCGAGTGGGGGCACTAGGGAGGGAAGGTGTGATTGAGATTGTGAGTGTTTTTTTTTTTTCTCTCCCAGGATGGGTTCGATGCCGGTTCCTGGGCGATGCTTTTTATTGATGCCGGTTTTGTGGTATTGGTTCGGGGAGGAGGAGAGCTGCATGGCGCGGTGAGATGCAGGTCTTGGGTTTTGTTTTGGGCTCTGGTTTTCCCATTTGCATTTTTCCTCCTGCATAGGGGAATTTATTTTTTTTTTCGGTGGGGGGGAGCGGTTGCAGGCAGATTCGGTGTCTGGTGTTCACTGTTGCATGTTTGCTTGCCGGTTTTTCTTTGGGGGGATTGGCATGTCTGTTTTCTCAGGGGGCGGGTGGTGCCCATTGGGTGGATGTCCTGCCGGCAGTGCACCGCTGGTGTGTGGGGGTCTGGGCGGCTCCGGCGGGGGTGGTGTTGAGGGGCTGGTGTGGATGGGCTGGCTGGGTTTTCGGGTGGGTTTTCCCACTTGGAGGCATGGTGAAGCTGCTTTGTTCCCGCTGATCGCAGCGGGTGTGGCTGCGGGGTGGGTTGAGGGTGCAGTGGCTCTGCCTGGCGCGTCGTGGGGGCCGGAGCGGCGGAGTGGCGGAGCTGCTTTGCGCTACCCTTGGGGTGCTGGGGGGGGGTGGTTGCTCCGGCTGCGGTCTGCTCTTCTTGCGGTTCGGGCACCGAGCGGCTTTCTGCTCTTGGGTTGTTTCTGTGCGCGGTGTGTTGCGTTGCACGCTGTTGGCATTGGTCTTGGTGGGGTGGGGCCGCGCTTTTGGCCTGGGGGGCGTTTTGGGTGTGGTTTCGTGGCGCTCGCAGACGGTTTGCGTCGGATGCGCGTGGGCTCCGGCTGTGGGCGTGGCCGCCTGTGTGTTTTTTCTGGCTCGCGTTGGGTGTTGCAGCCGGTCGCCGGGGCTTGGTGCCGGGGGGTGGGGCGTGTTTCGGTGCTCTGTGGGGCCGGGGAATTTTGGTCGGTGCCGTGGGGGCATCGGGGTTCGGTGCCTGGACCTACTTCAGGGTGGCCGGCTGCCGGCGGAGCCCGCGGACTTTTCCCCGCGCCTCCCTGGGGCACTGACATGGCTGTGGCTGGGGGGCTTCTTCGGGGTTGTCTCTCCTCCTCCCTTGGTGGGGGTCTGACTTCCGGGGCTGGCCCCTCCTTGGTGTCTTCGCTCTTGGGGTCCCTTTGGGCGCCTGAGGCTTTGGGTCTCCCGGCGCTGGACTCAATTCTCTGGGGGGTGCGCCTCTTAGACTCTCCACAACCACTATTGAGCATTTTTTTCTAAGGATAAACTTTACATGCACAAGTGCACCCTCACAAACAACTACAGGTGCTTGGCTCCAGGTACTCAGAGATTCACTTCCAAACAGAAACCCCACATTCATATCTTCAGGTAACACAGAGTACATGTCAGACTTAATAATATTACTTTAGCGATAGTTTCAAGGTGTTGCTTTATTGTATGTCTCGTACCATGTCTTTCAGTTGTGCTGTTCTTTTTTTTTCATCTCGTTACAGGTGATGAAGCAGACTGAAAATGTTTTGTCATTATCTCTTTTCTATCTCTTCTTTCTTTCATCTTTTCTCTTTTTTTTTTATTTTTTGCTCCATTTATGCTCTATTTATGCTCTATTTACATTGCAGTGTCCATATAAACTGTAAAACTCCCTGCATAATTATAATAAAGCAATTTATATGCACGAAACGACTTGTGAAAGTAAAATCTGTTGGGCTCTTTTTGGCATCAAGACAATTATTCTTATTGCCACATTGCCAGACAGGACTCTGTCAAAAAAAAATGTAAATATATAGCAGATGGACTCACCCAGCAGCATGAGGAAAGATGTTCCCTTTATTCTGTAGCTGATAAATGAGGCCAGCAGCAGTTTAACAGACGGTAAACAGCTCCTCTTTGTTGACCGCTAAATGTCAGAAGCTCTGAGCTTTTCTCTGCAACACAAAACCACGGATGTAAGATCTGACCTGACAAACCCACAAACTTAATCTGATATGAGAACTAAACTACTGACAGCACAGGCATGTTAGTGGTGGGGGTGGACCCGAAAACACAAAAACATATTTTTGTGATATTTTTGTTTCAAACAAATAGGGTCCCCAGATTAATTGGTGTCATTACTGATTTGGAATACATTCGACTTACAGAAATACAGATTTATTGATTTATTACTCCTGATATATTTATTGATCGGATGCTTTGAAGTCTATTCCCAGAGGGCTGCAAGGAGAACAGTCCATGGTGGGGGGGTGAGGGGTCATTGATGATGTTACAGGCTCTGGACACGCAGCTTTGGGATGAAATGTCTTTAATGGAGGGAAGAGGAGCCCCCATGATCCTCTCTGCTGCTCTCACCTTCTTCCAGTCTGAGGCCCTGCAGCCTCCACAGTTAGACAGCTGGTCAGAACGCTCTCTATGGTGCTTCTGTAGAAGGTAGGGAGGATGGGTGGGGGCAGGTGGGCTCTCCTCATCCTCCGCAAGAAGTACAAGCACTTCTGTGCCCTTTTGACTAGTGAGGAGGTGTTTACATTGCAGGTGAGGGTTTCTGTGATTTCCCAGGAATTTGGTGCTGCTGACCACCTCCATCATGATGAAGTGCTTCCAAAGACTGGTTAAAGAAAACATTGTCTCCAGTCTGCCGCCAACATTCGACCTGTTCTAGTTCGCCTACTGACGAAACCGCTCCACTGAGGACGCCATCTCTGCTGCTCTCCACCTGAGCACACCTGGAGAAGAACACTCACGTGTGGACAGGCTGGTAATCAGTGGGGTGACCTTAGGCTTCTTTGGGACCGCAATAATGTTGGCAGACTTGAAGCATGCGTGCACTACGGATTGGTCCAGCGAGGTGTTAAAAATGTCTGTGAGGACACCAGCCAGCTGTGGGGGGGTGCTCTGAATGCATCTTTGATGTTAGATTAAACCAGGTCTAAAATGTTTTCATCCCGAGTTGCAAAGTCCACATGTTGGTAAAAAAGGGGGAGAACAGTCTTCAACTTAGCCTGGTTAAAATCCCCAGCAATGATGAAAGCACCCTCTGTGTGCAGATTGGAGCTCAGAGATAGCCTGGTATAGAGCCTTAATGGCCTCTTTAGTGTTAGCGGTGGCGGGCACATAAACAGCAGTGATGCTAACCACACTGAACTCTCTGGGCACATAGAATGGTCTGCAGTTAACAGTCAGAAACTCGATGTCAGGAGAGCAGAAGTTGGTGACTGATCTAGCCTTCTTGCACTAGCTGTTGTTGATGTAAAGAAAGAGCCCACCACCCCAAGCTTTACCGTTTAGTTCTTTGTTCCTATCTGCGCAGTATAGCGTGAGCCCCTCCAGGTTAACCCCTTAAAACCCACCGGGTCACCGGCGACCCGGTGGACCTTAAGTGGGGGTAATAATTCAGAATGCATAAAATTCCACCGGTAAAACTTTTACCAGCAGGTGGAACCATTGTGCGCAGCTCAAAGCTGACACCAAAAGTTCCAAAGGTCACAGCTCTGGATGTGTTATAGCTAGAGGTCTGGAATTTTCCGCATTTGTGGTTGACATGATGTAGAACACATAATACAATTAAACCTTCTTTCTCAAGAATGTCTTTATTACTGCTGTTCAAAAAAGACCTATCATTTCTGAGAATAAAAAAAAACAGCTTTGAGTCATGTTTGAACTGATGCAGGTTGGTCTGTGTTCTGCTTGCCCAATTTTAATGTATATATTCAGAAATTAGAGGGTATTAGCTTTCAAATAATGTATTGCACATGTAATTTGGGTTCACAGATCCTAAGTTATTTGCTTTTTCATTTGGGTATGCAAAATAGATGAGGATTACCCAAAATGAGGTGAATGTTAAAAGGTTTGTCCGGTATTGCTGGATACAGCCATGACTCCATCAGAATGATGGTGCAGGAGTTACTAATCTTCTTTGATGAGAGTTCCAGTCAAAGATTATCCATTTTGTTTTCCAGCGAGCGGACGTTTGAGAGTGGACATTGGTCTTTGAGGATTTCTCTTTAGCTTCACAGTTAGCCCCCCTCTGCTGCCTCACTTTCTCCATCTTGCACATCTTTTCCTTCGGCAGTTACTTTCTGCTGTTGTGTTGTTCAGATCCGTCCGTAGCACACTGCAGCTTTTTAAACGGTCAAAAATGTCTGGATTTAAAACATTTTGTGACCGTAGCTCCAGCAGACGTTGGCGATAATAGATGTGGGTTTGAAGTCTAGTTTGTATCTTTTTAAGAGGCATATTTTGAGAAATTGTCAAGAGGAGCTGTTCTTGGCCGCTGCTTTGAAGTGCCACCATCGTAACCTCATAGTATTGAAAACCTCAATTGAGATGTTTAACTTTAAGAACAGTCCACCTAACAAATTGGAAACCCTCAAAAGCCCGGGGCTTTTAAGACGCTCCATAAAGGAAAACCCAGCTAATTTGCATTATCCGTGCTTTCCTTTCACAGGGATTTTGTCCCTTGAGAGACCAAGTATTTTACCTTGCTTAGTCGGGCTTTTGGAGTTACAGCAGAGCAATGATTGGAGGACTTTCTTGCTTTTGTTGTAAAGTCCGCCCATACCGCCGTGTTTAAATCGTCAGGTTTTTTGTCAGTCAACACAAACGCGCACAAACACAAAGACACACACAAGGTTTTTCCAGTTGTGTAGCTAATTTCTTAGATGAATGATGGAGCAAAAGGGTGGAAGCTATGATGATGGATGGACAATGAAGTCCGGGTTATTTTAGGCATTTTTAGCTGAGGAGATCAGTCAGCGGAGTTTGAGTCGACGACATGCAATGATTGCGTCTACGCCATGATTGCATCCAGACTGCCCGAGTTTATACACACTACAAAGCAGGGGTGGGACAAGCTCAAGGAAATGAAGCAGGGCTGCAAGAACCTGAAAGACCATAGCAATTGTAGTGGATCAGACCGCCAGACAAACCACTTGGATGCGATCCTGGGATACAGGCCCCCATACAAGTTCACTGGAACCACAAGATTCTCGCTGGCGTCTGTAGGGGAGGCTCTTAGCCAGAAAGAGCTCTCTGACATGGACTGTAGTTGGAGTAAGTGGCCTGTTTTTATTATTTTTTACACTTTTTGGAAACCATTTCACTATGCTGATTAACATAATTGTTCAGGGGGTTTTAAGGGTAATAGAGAAGGATAAACGAATTAGTAGGGATTCCTATTAGCCGTGTGATAAAAAGCCTAGGGCTTTCAATGCAAAAGCAGCCATTGCACCACTAGAGCAAAATGGCTACACAAAAGGGATTTCTTGGAGCTTCATGGGCTCATGAAACCACCTGCTGGCCGAGTTCATAATCACAGTCAGCAAAATAATGTGAGATGAAAGCATGTTTTTATACATTAGGGCAGGCATGTTCCAAGTCGGTCCTAAAGGGCCGCCATACTGCAGGTTTTAAAGGCTTCCCTGCTTCAATACAGCTGAGTTCCATTTATAGCTGACTTTTGCTGAACTGCAACAATCAGAATCAGCCGTGCTGAAGCCGAGGAAAGTTAAAAACCTGTAGGATGGCGTCCCTCAAAGAACAACTTTCTTAACCTGCCTGCATTAGGGCCTTTAAAAATTATAAATAAAAAGTAATAACCAATAGTTCAGGGTTAATCTACACTGATCATGATGAACCAACAGGAAAATGAATGAGTTCATCATATTTTCTAAATGAATAATTGAAGACAATAGATTTTCATGAGGCCCTTGCTAATAAAGCTACAGCATATTTATACATCAGTCCTTAAATGAGTTTATAGCTCTACATAATATATATATGGGTAATATATATAAATGGCTTGAGCAGCTGTTCTTTATCTTTATTACATAAAAGACTCCTAGGTGGCTTCAGAGACTTATTTTTAGTTATTGTGAATTATTTTTGCTTTTGGTTGAAATACTAACTCTTAAACATCAAAGTAGGAGATTCCATATGATGGTATCACTGCTGCCACCTTCTGGTTTAGACTAGAA